TAACACCAGTGCTGCAGTGCTGCCGTGTTTACATTAAAAGGCCTGCAGGGACAGGCTTTAGACACCAGAACCACTACATTAAGCTGTAGTGGTTCTGGGGACTATAGTGTCCCTTTAATGTGAGGTAAATTAGAGATTAGTGCCATAAATAATATACTAGATTGCCTACTTACAACCAGATGAGGATGATGATGGGCTCTAGCTGCCGTCTGGCTCCACTGGTCTGGTGTAGAACAGGCTCTCTGGAGGCGGTTTGTAACTGTGGTCACAAAAATCAATGTTCTGGGATCAACAGGAAGCAGCTCCATTTTTTTGAGGGCCCTTTACACAGCTCAAGGTCTGGGTCCCAGGGTCCACCTTCATGTTCCACCAATGAGTATGTTCACAGGGGGTGGAGTGTGTGTGTGGGGGATGTCCTGATGTGTGTAAGGAATGCATTGTGTGAATCTGTGTTTGTATGTGTAAGGGCTGCAAGGTGAGTTTGTGTATGTATGGGATGCAGTGTGTGCGTCTGTAAGGGATGCATTGAGTGTGTGTAAGGGGTGCATTGTGTGTTGCTGTGTGTAAGGGATGCATTGCTTGTGTATGTGTGGCTGTGTGTAATGCATTGTGTGTTTTTCTGTGTGCAAGGGGTGCATTGTGTGTGTGTGTGATGGATGTCAATCTCTGCCCCTCCCGCCGTCAATTTCCTTCTCCCCCCTCCAATTTCCTTCTCCCCCACCCTTCCTCTCTCCAATTTCCTTCTTCTCCCCCTCCCTCCCTCTCTCCAATTTCCTTCTTCTCCCCCCTCTCCTTCTCCCCCTCTCCAATTTCCTTCTTCTCCCCCCCTCTCCAATTTCCGTCTTCTCCCCCTCAATTTCCTTCTTCTCCCCTCCCTCTCAACTTCCTTCTTCTCCCCCCTCCAATTTCCTTCTTCTCCCCCCTCCTCTCATTTCCTTCTCCCCTCAATTTCCTTCTTCTCCCCCTCAACTTCCTTCTTCTCCCCTCTCCAATTTCCTTCTTCTCCCCTCTCCAATTTCCTTCTTCTCCCCTCCCTCTCATTTGCCTTCTTCCCCCCTCAAATTTCCTTCCTCTCCTCCCCCCAAATTTCCTTCCTCCCCCCTCCTCCCTCCCTCAAATTTCCTTCCTCCCCTCCTCCCTCCCTCAATTTCCTTCCTCCCCACCCCAAATTTCCTTCCTCTCCCCCCCTCAAATTTCCTTCCTCTCCCCCCCTCCCTCAAATTTCCTTCCTCTGCCATCTTCCGGCTCCGGCATCAGTGCAGTGGGCGAGGGAGCTGAAGAGGAAGCACTCTCGTCATCTTCCGGCTCCGGCATCAGTGCAGTGGGCGAGGGAGCTGAAGAGGAAGCACTCAGCCAGGGAGAGTGCTCCATAGCGTGCCCGCCGGGTGTCAGTAGGGCCAGCCTCTGGGGGGCCATGAGGTGACCGGCTTCTGGGCACCCCAGGAGAAGAGGCTGGCCCAGTGGGTACATACCCGGTATGTACACCACTGAATGTGGGGCCCGGACGACCTGAACAGTCCGGGCCCCCCAGGACCGCCGGGCCCATGACAACCGTTGCTCTGATGGCGGCCCTGCTTCCTACCCTCCCTTCTCAACAGATATTGCCCACAGATCATGTATTGGCAAATCTGACCCCAGCTAATCTCTAATTCCTGCAATGAGAATCTCGATGAATAAATCAACCTCCTAAGTGCATAGTGCAAATTGGACTTAGGAGGGCTAACTGCACTTTTTGGTTCACAAATTAACTTTTAGGGGAGCAGACTGTGCCAGTGCTCCTCCTAATTGGATAGACCTCTGATCCATGCTCAAAATCACCTAGTCCACCAATGCTCATTATTGATCTGTGGGTCTGCAAGGATCTTCATCTACGTACCCCTTGCCCATGGCATGTACACATCCTGAGGTACTCCCAACAGTATGTTGCAAATCCCACAGTCTTTAGTCTGCTTTCTTAAACTTTACCACCACATAAGTTACATTTCTCAAGATTTTAGGGCACAACAGATCAACTTGGCTGAGTGTAAAGCTGCTGTGTATTATTCAAAAGATGTAATCTCCCCCCAAAAAATATAATTACCTGGTGGTCCAGTGGCATGGTGCAGCACCCGGCTACCTATTTCTGCAGAGGGGGCCCAGCACACTGCGTCTGCACATTCAGCTCCTCTCTCCAATTAACTCTCGCGAGCGTGACCTGGTTGCGCTTGGAGCGTTGCCATGGTAACGCGTGGCAATGCTCTGACGGCCGTGGGTCTCGTGAGAGTTAATGAAAGAGAGGAGCTGAATGTGCAGACGCAGTGTGCTGGCCCCCCTCTGCAGTAACAGGTAGCTGGGGCCCCGCAGCTGCACATATATACATAGCGATATACATATGTGCAGAGAGGGAATGTGGGGCCCGGGACTGCCAGAGCAGTCCGGGCCCCTCCAGGACAGCTGGTCCCATAACAACCATCATGGTCATCACCCCCTGATGGCAGCCCTGCCAGCAGACACTACTAGTTTTCCTGAATTGCATACAGCTGGAAAGTTTGTGATCTGAGCTGCATTCACATTGAGAAAGAGAAAAAAAATGTGGGGAAAAATAAATAAATAAAATACACTCCGTAAATGTCTACATACCAAAAACCTCTTTAAAAATTCTCGTCCACATCTCTAATGCGTGGCACCTAGTAACTGAATGCCTGCCTTTCGGTTTGCTATATAAAATCTTACGTGCCGGTGAGATATTGCCATGCTATAATGTTTTAATGAAAACTTAAAAAAACTGTACACAAGACGCTGATAGATATGCAGTCACATGTGTCTCTAGTGTGCCCTTGCGCACCGAAGAATGATCAGTGTAATTCTGCTTTTTATCTACATTATAAATTGTCTTCTCTATTTTGAATGTATTAAGTTCTTTCTCTTCCACTTGTATCAAAACCCTGTCACTTTCATTAATTCAACCTTCGGCAAAAGGCAGACATATCCCCCATCCAGTAACTTTCTGCGCTCTCTGATTGGCGGGTACTTTTTTTTTTAGGCTTTAGATGGCGGGGGGACGGTAACAGGCTGAGGAGAAGAAATCTTTATTTCCAACCCAACTGCTAATCCATTATGCTCTGAAATAACCTGCTCTTGTAATGCCATTGATTATAAAAGCTGTACATTACCCTTTGCTGCTTACATTCTATGATAAGAAAATGTGCACTTTACCTCGTTTTTAATTTTGGAAATTACCTTTATTTTTTAATTATTATTATTATTATTGTAACGGGAGAGAACAGGAGGTAGCAAGATTCAAATGGTTGAAAGGGGTTATTGTTGTGATAGGCAGTGAAAAATCATCAGAGTGTTATATGGTGGGACGACGAAGGAGCTTCCATGTTTGGCAGATAAAATTTATGGCGTCACGAAAGCACTCTGCAGATACAATTCTCATTTGACTATTCACAGAGTTTGTAAGAACCCCTTGTTGAGCACTGAAGTCATGTTAAGGAGAACAGTAGAATTAGACCTCAGTTCATGTATAAGAATGACTATCATGATTTTAATAATCTATTTTATATACTTTTTTCCCCCCAAGGTAACAGTAAATCTATTCTGTTGTTCGGAATTCGTATGATTCCACGTGAGGTCTAGTATTTAGTGGATGGGAACAATTTTGCAACTGGCAGGACGAAAGAACAAGGGTAATCTTTAAGTACGAAAAGCTCTTTAACTGCTTGTAGCTTGTATAATGTTGGATCCGTCTTGGCTTTAAAGATATATATATGTAGTCAATTAGTTCGACCCTACAGGGTCTTTATCAAGATAGTAACAACGTGCAAAAAATATCTATATATAGCAGAATAAGAAAATATCTAACTTACCCCATCTGTGGAGTGATACCTGCGTCTATCAAGTGCCGATCGATCGTGCGCATGCGTGATTACGTTCGCGTGTACGTGTGTGATTGATTTGCACCTACATATTTGTGCACACCTCCCACTCGCACTACATTTACTCACACACTATCACATTTACACAGGCTTACACTATTCCTGCTTTCACACATCTCTCTTTATAGACACCGATTAGATTTTATTATTGGGATGTGGATATTTTTAGAGATGTTGTTCTCTGCAGTATGTACTTCAATGTTTTGGGTGATATGGTCCGGTTTCTATTACATTTGTTATTTATTTATTTATTGGATCTTCCGTTTAGTATGTTTTTATTGGGGGCGTATGGTTCCCATGGATACTGTTGGTTTACATGGGGTCACGCTGAGGTCACGTTATCACGCATGCACAGGTGAATGTCATCACGCACGTACACGCGAACGTAATCACGCATGCGCACGATCGATCGGCACTTGATAGACGCAGGTATCACTCCACAGATGGGGTAAGTTAGATATTTTCTTATTCTGCTATATATAGATATTCTTAGCACGTTGTTACTATCTTGATAAAGTCCCTGTAGGGTCGAAACGTTGATGTGATTTACTAACACTTGATTAAACACCATTTGAAAATCCAAGAGTGTGCTCCTGATTGACTACATTTATCTATTGGCTTGGAAGCACCCGGGTAATATTGCTCTTTTTATTTTTGGGGGGTTGAGTGCCTGAGTCTGGCTATATATACATATATACACACACATATATATATATATACATATATATATATATATATATATATATATATAAAACAAGAGGGGGTTGGCTGCACTCACCTTAACATGCACAAATGGGGGTGCCGCTGGGGGCCAAACAATACAACACACAAGATCCAGCGCACTCACCCATCCACCAAACAGCAACTTCAATGTTGAAAGATTTTATTAGTTTTTTTTAAAAACACCTAATCTAGGCAAAAATAATGGGGGTTTAGTTACATTATATGATCATACATTGCATAAGCCTGCCACAACGTCAATGTACCCCATCTTTGGCAGGTCCTACACTAACAGCCTAATGTCTGCTCTTATGAGATTAACCTACTTGGGGAAAAAAATTCCATCTGGGGCTCTCTGCAGTACAAGGCTAAATAGGGCCCTGGGATGAGGCACCTGTGACAGGGAGGGGTGCAAAACCAAGGAGTTGGCTAGACTCCAAAATATTGTTATTATTGTTTGGCCCCCAGCGGCACCCCCATTTGTGCATGTTAAGGTGAGTGCAGCCAACCCCCTCTTGTTTTATATATATTTTGGAGTCTAGCCAACTCCTTGGTTTTGCACCCCTCCCTGTCACAGGTGCCTCATCCCAGGGCCCTATTTAGCCTTGTACTGCAGAGAGCCCCAGATGGAATTTTTTCCCAAGTAGGTTAATCTCATAAGAGCAGACATTAGGCTGTTAGTGTAGGACCTGCCAAAGATGGGGTACATTGACGTTGTGGCAGGCTTATGCAATGTATGATCATATAATGTAACTAAACCCCCATTATTTTTGCCTAGATTAGGTGTTTTTAAAAAAAACTAATAAAATCTTTCAACATTGAAGTTGCTGTTTGGTGGATGGGTGAGTGCGCTGGATCTTGTGTGTTATATATATATATATATATATATGTGGCTCCACTCACCTGTAGATGCATATATTATAACAGCAGTTTCAAGGCTCACAGAATGTAAGTTTTATTTAAAATCACCTAACCTAGGCAAGAGTAATGGGGGTTTAGTTACAGTATATGATCATACATTGCATAAGCCTGCCATAACACCAATGTACCTCATTCTTGGCAGGTCCTACTCTAGCAACCTAATGCCTGAGAGTCCAACTCGCGGTTTTTAGACCGCTTCTCGAGGTGCCTTATTCTAGGGGTCTATTGCATTGAAGAGAGCCTCAGTAAGAAGCATTTCCCAAGTAGGTGGATTAATCTTATAAGAGTAGGCTTTAGGTTGGTAGTGCCACAATGCCAATGAAAACCTTGGCAGGTCCTACTCTAGCAACCTTATGCCTGCTCTTATGAGATGAATCCACTTACCTGGGAGGCGTGAGGCTGATCGTGTACCTCAATGACACCCTGCTGTTATCCCAGGATCGTGCCATGTTACTCCTGCACTTCGGTGGACCGTGGATCTTCTGACCCAATAGATCCTTGGGCTTTTGGTAGAAATCTCACTTGACCCCCTTGGGAGTCCTGGAGTTCCTGGGAATTATCCTCAATTCGGTGGAGAAGTCCCTCAGCCTTTCACCCTCAAAGTTGAGAACGATCTCTCTGCGGCACTTGATTTGCATCATTGGCCTCCTAAGAGCTTTTATTCAGGCAATCTTTGCATTACAGGGCCCTTCAATGGCTAAAGATCAGTCATCTACGCAGAGGAGCTTCTCACAAAGACTTAATTTTGCTGGACAAGAAAACAAGAGACGAGTTGCATAGGTGGTTGCTGAATATGGAGGCCTAGAATGGTCAAGTCTTCTTCGGATTGCAACCGAAATTTTCTATAGACTCAGACATATCCTCTACAGTCGGGATGCTCACTGCTTTTTTGTTTCGAAGGGTGGTTGCTGGTCGACTTTGGAATCAAGGTTAAACATCAATTGCTTGGAGCTCTTGGCGGGATCTTTTGCTATCAAAAGTTTCAACAATGACTGCATCAACACCTACATCAGATTTGCGTATGGACAACAATTTGTCCGTTCGGTATATAAACCCCTTGGCGGTATGCAGTCAGCGATTTGATTTTGGCAACTTTGGCTTGAGATTTATAGAATTTTTGCCTGGCCTGCAACATCGCAATTTAAGCAGAATATAGCGGGGCTGTCCAACATGGAGGAGGACTGGAACTCCTGTTTCCTGGTCGACTCAAGCAAATGGATGTTGGATTTGTGGTGTTTCAGCACCCAATGGTCTTGTGTGGTCCCCTTCAGTTTGACCTTCTTGCCTCACGCCTGAACGCTCAACTGCCCTTGTTCTACAGCTGGCGCCCAGACGTGACGGGTGTGGAAGCTTTCCTACAAGATTGGACCTGCATCTGTGTTTTCCATAATTCCCAAGACACTGACATTTTCTGGAGGCCCATTTTAGGCTGTCGCAGCCATGGTTCCTGCAACTACTGGAGACATAGATCACCCAAGGTTGCGTCCTCCATCAACCCTATTGTTGAGAGACGCGGACGGTCAACTGCACTACTTGATCCTCAGGAGACAACTGTTTCTCTTGGTGTGGCTGATTTATGGGGACCCTGGGAAGTCCTGGAGTTTCGGACTTAACATCTTCTGCCAGGATTGTGGGCACCCGGCACTAGACAGTCTTCCCATTCAGCCTGGCATGCTTGGGCTGGCTGGTGCCTGGGGAGGAACATGTATTCCTTTTCTGCCCCTTTGAAGGCGATTCTGAGTTTCCTTACGTCAATTCAACAGCAGGGCTGGGCCTATCATATGATCAATTTGTATCATTCAGCGATTTCATCTGCCCATAGGGGCTTGGATGGCTTACAGCCAGGTAAAAATCCCCTGGTTTGTCACATCTAAAAAGGGGTCTGCTTGCATTGCCTCTACAGGTGCAATATTTTTGTACTTTGTATATTCAACCTTGTCTTTAATGTCATGAATTCCTGGCTGGCTAATCTGGATCTCTTTCTCTGCCAACTGTCCGCAAAATTGATTATGCTTCTGTGCTTGGTTTCTTGCAGTTGGCGCCCGATGTCTATGCTATTGATGTGGACGCACATCATGTTCCTTTTCTCCCAACTGTGTCCAGTTTGATATCTCAAGATTTACTAAGATCTCCCTTACTTCTGTGTTTTATCTGGCATTTTCGAAGATGCCTGCTCTTTGTCCAGTGGTCTGCCTCCGAGAATACGAGCTTCACACTGGACCCTTACATCAATAGGAGGGGTTTCGGTTTCCCTTGTTTATATATTTTTGTTCCCTGTTTCGATAGGTGTTGTCACCTACGCTGGTTTGTTGGGTCAGATGGCTTTTATCTTTGGCAGGTGTAGATATCTCGGTTTTTAGCGCTCACTCGCCTGGGGGTACTGCTGCTTCCAACTTGGCATCAGTTGGTGGATGCTTGGAGGATATCATGTGATCTGTGGATTAGTCTAAGGAGTTCACTTTTCAAGAGTTTTACTTCAAACCGATTTCCCATGTTTTTTTGACGGTTGTTGCGCAGCTTGGAATTCTGTATCTCACAATAAAATGATATACATGGGAGGGAGGCTTTTTGTCCTGGCAGGGAAGAATTGTGGCGTTTAAGATGTTGCTACTTCCTAAACTTCTTTATCTACTGCGAATGCTGCAGATCCCACTTCCTAGACAATTTTTAACTAATTTACAGAAATCAATCACAAGATTTGTGTGGGCTAATAAAAGAGCCAGAGTAGCCACTAAAATATTACAGAAACCAATCTCCAGAGGATGCCTAAGCCTACCACCTTTAAATTTGTACCAAATTGCAGCTCTCCTGACTTCAGTAGTTACATCACACACAAAAATAGGGACTCCTCAATGGGTAGCTTTTGGAATAATTTTGGTTCTGGAGGCAGGGCCTACATCACCTGTTTTGGAGATGTGATAAAAGAGTTTTTGCCCACTTGCGGTCCATTGACACCTGCAAGAGTTTTTGCCCACAGGTGGTCCATCTCCATTTTATATGGTTAGACAGGATGTCTAAGATAGACCATAAATTGCTATTTCAGGCACTAATTGCTGCTAAAACACTGCTAGCCAGGGCACGGAAGAACCCCTTAGCACACTGTAAAGATGCATTACTCCAACAAATTAGCACGAATTGGGACTATGAGTTTATGGCAAACAAACAAATTAAAGCTGGGAAACTCATGGCTAAGTCAGGTCAGATATGGAGGGATCACTGGAAAACACTAGAGAACAATGTATAACGTATCCCTAATCTCAGCAACCACACATGTACATAAGAAAAATAATAATAAATAAATACATTTATTCCCGACGACACCTGTACGAGTAACTAAAATATTGCACACACAGGATCCAATGTGTTTTAAACCCTGAACCTGATCCAACTCGGTCAGATCAGTCGTTTGTACAACAGACAGTGGAACAGATACCAAGAGGCAGAAATCCACTAGGGATGTGCATGGGCAAAAAAATTGGTTCGGCACTTCCAAAATTCAGGACTTCGGCACTTCCCTAACCCTTACCCTACCCCTTAGCCTTAGGTTAGTGGTAGGGTTATGTTATGGGTAGGGTTAGATTCCTGTCATCATTCCCTTCATTTTTCCTCCCTCTCCTGTTTTGCCACTTTTCAGAAATCCGAAGCACTTCGCCACTTCAGAAATTCGGCAATTCGACGTATGTCTCATGGCCAAGTTAAATGAATGGTCCACAAAGTTAAGTTAAGAGAAGAGAACATCCCCCTTAACAAACAAGGAACAGGATACAAAAAGATAGCGAAGGCAATGAATGTTCCTAGAGACACCATTGGAAGCAAAGTTCACAATTTCAAAGTTGAAAGAACAGTGGTTACTTCCTGGACGGTTCAGAAAAAGAAAGCTCAATGGCTGCAGGTTATGAAAAACCCTGAGTGACTGCAAAAGACCTGCAGCAAGACTTACAGTGAGTACATTAAGGCGTGTACTAAACGCAGAAGGTTTCCATACCAGAACTCCAAGACGTACACCATTACTGCCTGTGACAAACTCCTCTGTCCTCGTGAGTTTGCCACAAGCTCCTGGAGGAGCCTACTTGCCAGTTTCCTGCCCACAGCCTATGGGCCCTGTAATATACACTGAAAAGTCTCGGTATTTGGACTATATGGTTCGGTAACGGAACAGCCACACGAACCGGAGACCCCCGGGAGCTAGTTAAACCTAATTGCTACTTTGTATCAATTTCCACCGCAGTGTTCTAAGTGTTCGTCTGGGTGGCTACATTTCCTACGGACGACCACGAGGTGGCAGCCATCTTGTTCGCATGAACACAGGCAGCGGTGTTTGGTCGTCGAGTTCATGGAACTATTTTCGGACACTGAAACTCCCGAACACCACTGGACTTCCATGATCGCCTGTGTTCGGTTTTATAACACGTAGGGAGACACTGTTCAGTGGAAATGTGCCCACGAACATGGGAAACAAGCTCCAGTGTAAGAATATTGACTATGTTCGGTAGTTTGTTCGGTTTTAAACTACCAAACTAGACCGACCGCTAGCCCTGATTTTATGGAACTGTTTTGGGCAGGAGCCTCGTGTGCTGTTGGTCAAATTAAGACTTCTAGGGGTTTTTAATGTATTTTTAAGGTACTTTTGGGGTGTTTGTGAAATGTGTGTGGGCCTGGAGATAATTGAGTTTTGTAGAGTTCCTGACTCA